AGGGTAGAGGGAGGTGGGAGGGAGAAGGGGTAGATTTGGTCCAAACAATGTATACACATATGAATAAATGTAAAAACAAGAAAATAAAAATTAGGGGCATAAATCCATTTTGTCTGTCTTTAGTTACCAACTCAGTCTTCCATTCAATTTTAGGAGAGTGATTTGTATAAGTAACTGAAAATAAAGATAACACTATTTCTCCCTCTTTTATAAGAATCTCCTTTAAGCCCAGCAAATCTCTCCAATAATGACTGCTTTTCCTTTTGAGGTAGAGAAAGCATGGGGTACACCTCTTAATAACTTCAGAAAAAAGAGTTATTAGATAAACACATGTACCCAGATTATAGAAGGTACTTTCTACATACAGAGATATGTAAAATTATCACTAGGAACATGTTTAATTAGTGATTAATTTTCTTGCCATTGTTTCTCCTAGAAAAGATATTCCAAACTCTTTGCTCTGTGAATCTTGATTATTTGTCTGTAAGTAAAATCTCCCAGAGTAGAAAGATAGTGTTGGTGTACAGAGCAGAGCCTAACATTCTGAGCCAGTTTTATGGGTAGTATCTCTGTGGTGTAAATGGCTACCAATGGTTTGTTTGCATGAGAAATCATTTTCCTGTATGTAGAGATTAGTGATTAATATCTTTCTGGGAACTGGCAAAGCAATAAAATGGAAAACAGATGTAGATTAAGTATACTTAGATTATATCCCAGAAACCTGTATTTTATGTCCATTCTCTTGGTATTCTTATGTTCACCAGAGGCTGAAAACCACTGATAAAGAAAAGTAGATTGTGTAAACTATTACTACAGTAAAGAGAAGAAATATTTAATAATGACCAATACTTTCTGTGTTTCTACAATGTCAGATATTTGCAAATATTAAATACCCTTTAAGGATTAGTTCATTTAACACATAAAATAATTTTAATATCTGAACTGATATTGTTTTATTTTTACCCTTTTACATATGTAAATACCGTACATGAAATGTTTAAAGTTACTTGATAAAAGTCACAATGATGTTGTGACAGAGTGAATATTAAACCTCAAATAAGTAATTCTAAACTTGATGTACCATTGTTTTGAGAAGCTACATACAAAAGCATTGAGACAGAAATGTTCAAAGAAGAGCTAAAAATACACTGAAACAGTAGAATAGAAATGTGCTCGCAAGTCCTAGCTTAAAATGACAAGAAATCTTCACATTTGACCCATTTCTTATCAGAGGCTACTTGATATATGTTGTAAAATGGACAAGGAATAAGTTAAGACATAAAATTGGCATAAATTAATTGGGAAATAGCATTTTAAGAAGAGCAAGAAAGTAGAAAACTATATTTAAATGGACACTTTGAATTATAGTTTTAAATAATATACAAATAAGTCATAAATTTTTGTGCTTTTTGATGTAATATGATGCTTTCAGCCTAAAGGGAAAATATTGCTAATGTTTTCAATTAACGAGTTTATTTCTCTTTGAAGAAACTGTTGTGATTATGATCCTAGCAGAGTGGGTTAGTGTAGCATTAAATACATTGATCTCTCAAAGGAATTAACCAGTTGAAGAGTTTTTCTATTGTGCAGAAGTGTGAGCTGAGGCAGATTGTAGTTAGAAGACTGTTTATGGGGTCACTGGAGACACAGAACTCTTCCACTTGATGCTTCCCCATCCCAGAGAATGGTCCCCAGCCAGTAACTAGTGGGGAAAGGGCCTGGAGAGACACTAACCAGGGACTTTGCATTCTGTTAGTCTCCTATTGTGTGGTCTTGGAATATCTAGCCATTTCAGTCTACCACTGAGCTGGACAGTTCTTATGGGTACAGTGTCAGTGTCTATGCAGCCTGGATCATAGAAGATGATGGGTACCTCACTATTTCCTCCTCCTCCTCTTCATCCTGAGTCTTTGTGGGAGATGTGGACTGGTCTTGACAGTTGGCTTGTAAGCATTTTGAGCCTTCAGTAAAGTTTGGCAAAGAACACCCTGCAGAATTTCCTATTCCCTACAAAACAATTGCAAGCCAGGGACATTCTCAAGTGAAAGATGTTTGGAACAACTGCCCTAGATCTTAACAGACAACCTACTTTCCTGCTTTGCTGAGAAGATAGAGACCACACAGGGGAATATAAACCTTCTCATATTCTTCCTTTTGTATTTGCAAAGATACGTTTACCACATAGATAAATAGACAGAAAGAGCCTTTAAATTTGATATGTCATACATATTTTTAAGACACTTGCTTTTTCTACTTTTTAAATTGTTGTATTTAATCTTCCATTTTAACATCACAGGTGGACATTTGATTGTTTCATGTTTTTTTCCTATTCAAAACAGATGCTACACAAAACATCCTAGGACATATATTATTATTCCCAGAAGTTAATGTTTTTAAAGGGTAGATAATTATATCTGAAGTTGAAATGGCAGGCATGCTCGTTTGAATATTATCAAATTATCATCAAAGTTCTAGCACCAAGCAATATGAGGTATCCTCCTTGTCATAAACATTACATAGGTTTTCATTCTTTTTTGCCAATCTGGTAGATATAAAATCATATCTCATTGTAATTTGAACCTTTCTGATTACTTTGTATAGACATTTTGGCTCTTTGAATTTTTCTCTTGAATACATCTTTTTTTCTGTTTCTCCTACCAGTACCCTTGGCCAAACACCATAATCTGTCACCTGGTCCCCTAGACATTCAAGCATTTAGTACCCTCTCTCCACCCCTGCTCCTCTCCAGCCAATTCTCCACACTTCAGCTCCCAGGGTGAGTACATTTTCCAAAAATTCAAAAATGATAGTAACATCCCCCCACAACAGTACACCCAACTCCCTGCAAGATGAAAGTCTTTGCAATGGCTTTGCTTGCTCCCAGGCAGAAGAGGTACCAAAACCCTTAGTGTGCTCTATACAGTGCCACAGGCACAGGACCTACTTCCCTTCACAGCCTCCTCTGTGTTTGTTCTAGCAACATTTCCCTCCTTTTAGTCCCTTGGAGTCTCCAAACAAAGAAACCAAAACAAGAGAAATAAAATACTAGATAGTAAAAGAAAAATCATGATCTATCAAGAGGCTCAAAATCTGATTAGAGTGTTAGACCAAAGATGTGGAACTGGAATGAAAGGGTATGTTTTTGTTAAATAATAGAGGAAAAGTGCCTAGCGTTAGGGGTAAGTTTCCTTTCATTTTTCTTCTCTTTCCTCTAAGGTTGACAGTTTTACTTTTTGGTTTTGGTGGTACTGGGGCTTGAACTCAGGACCTCATGCTCTATCACTGGAGCTGCTCCACCAGCCCTGTCTGCTGCATTTTTAAAGTCTGCTGCTTTTCTTTCAAGTTGTGATTTTCTTTGAATGTCTGGTGGCTGAGGGGTAAAGGACTAAGCTGGTTAGGATAGAGAGTGAAATCTGATGGCCTATTTTTCCCCACAGGCCTCTGTCAACTCATTAGATGCACTGACTATAGGTTTCATTACCTTATGTGTGGGGTTAAACATCTCTTATAAGTATACAGAGGAAGCGATGGAAAGGCTGGAGAGACACCCTTTGGCCACAGAAGGTATTAGCAAGGGTGAGCAGGTGCTTTATATGGAATCACTTAGAGGTTTTGGTAAAGGACACACTGGTGGCTGCTGATATCTTCTGATGGCCTTAGGAAGGGTGGAAGGTGTGAACTCCACTGAGAAGAGTGGTGGAGGGACTGGGAATTGTCAGGACAGAGCTAGTCAGGACTCATGACATCATGGGGACTTAAGGAAATGCCAGCAACAGAGAAAGTTTATTCTTTCTCTGTCATGATTCTCAACCTCAGCCAAGAGACAGGTGACATGAAATTTCTGCCAAGCAGAGGTTCTGTGTCTCATCTCTGACACTGGGGATCAGAACTTTCAAGGGTCTCAAGCAGTCATAATCTTTTTAAATTTGCCTCTTCATGACAGCCAGGCAGGCTCAGGAACTGCCACCCTTGGACCACTAGGTGGAACAGGTTATTGGAAGCTGTTGTGAATAGAAGTGGAAGCCAATGTTACTTTGTGATTCCTGCTGCCATTTTGACATTCACATTTTATGTAGAAAATAAACCTCAGTTGTGTTCACAGTGTTGGTTCCCAGGCTGTGGCCACCTGGCCCAGTGTCTCTGTCCCATTTTTGACCCCCTGTTCAGGAGGAAGGGATACTGTCAGCTGAAATAAACTTGATTTTTTTTACTGTGGCCCAATGACTAGTGTCTAAGCATCTGGGTCTTTGGGGTTGGCCTATCAGTTCCTGTGGCCCATCCTTTATGTTTAGAATGTCTTACCTTCTGTGAAAGCAGAGGAAATGGCTGGGAACAACATAAGTCAGCATACAATGACTGATGCAAAGAAATGTGGGATTTAATAAGACAAGCCCACCTCACACTTGCAGATAACATTGTGTATCTTCTTAACCATGCTATTGGTATCCTCTTAACCATGTTAAACATTTTTCAGTAGAAATGGTTATCTTTAAGTAGAAGATGAAAAAAGTACTCAGTCTCTGCTCTGTCATTCAAAGTGACTCAACGTGGGTCCCTAAGGTTCATAACCACTAGTGAAAACAAAAGCAGTGTACAGGGTAGCCCTCCCCTCTCTTTCTCCCTTAAATCTTATCAACAGGTTGTTGGAACAGTATCATTTCTTAAGTAAACCCTTTGATGGAGTATTCTCCTACTGGCTGGTCAAAGTATTGTTCATTACTGCATTTAGTACACTACCCTAAAGTCCAATCTTCTCCATTGTATTACATGTCCAGTGGAGTTTGAACATTCCTTGTAGATTCATGTGCCCTGATAAGGAGCCTTTAACAGAGGCACAAAAATGCTTCATAGACTCCAACAGGAGGATTCAATCAGACCAATGAATGATTATGACCAAGAATGGGGAAGTCATTGTGTGTTTTGTGTTTTTCTTCTTCTGTCTCTGGTACTCTGTGGGTTTCTGCTTAATTTTTTGCTTTTTCTGAAAACTTTTTTCCTACCTCTCTGCCCCATGTGGCAGAATATGGCCACCATACTCCAAGTATCAAGTTCACAGGTCTTATTCCAGGGACCTCCAAATTCCTAAGAGAAAGAGTGAACCAGTTCAAGTTAGACTATCCTCAAGACATCTTTGTGGGTGGTGAGACATTCTCATGCAGTATAAATATATCTTCCAGGAGTACTGGCCTAGGGAGCAATGACAGACACCCTGAAGTGGGTCCATTAAGTCATCACTATCCTCCAGGGTAGATATCTTCTTAAAACCCACACAGTGTTGAGTTTCTCTTCTTTAAAGGCCAAAAGAATCAGAGATAGATATATAAAGAAATGCTCTGAGATATTTGCTGTTTCCAAGACTGGAACTGACGTAATGTGAATATAAACATGCCTGCCTTAGTAGACCAGATGACCTACATAGACATTCCTATTCAAACCAGAATATGTTTCAAGGGTTTATATACTGGCAACTTCAGGCTTGTCAGCCAACTTGAACTGGCTTATTGTGGTGGCTATAGTAAATTTCTCCCTTGCCAAATTTGATTTGCTCCTGCTTATCAGGGCATTTTTTTGGTAGTGGTGGTACAGGGGTTTGAACTCAGTACCTCACACTTGGTAGGTAGGCAATCTACCACTTAAGAACCAGCCTAAGGACAGTTTTTGATGTATGTGCCTTGACTTTGCATTGGAAGTGAGAGGGAAGTAATGATTTACTTACTTAGCACAGCTAAGAGGGGTTCTCAACCCCAGGGTACAGGCAACATTGTCACTATCATTCCAGATCTCATAGGCATGTCGCAGTTTTAGATGGAGGCGTCGAAGACCAAGCAACATTACACTTGCCTTCATTGGGGGAGGAAGACCTTGCCTAGTGGTGAGGATGGCATGCCATAATCCCACATTCTTTTGCTGATTTTTCCTGTGTAATCTGAATGTGTGTGCTCGCTGTCACCCTTCTTGTGGTGGCAATTATTATGTTCTGCCTACTGTGACAGTACTTCAGTCTCTTGTTGCTTCCCACCTGTAGTTCTGAGCATTATTTTGGCACTGTGGATATGTGTCACCCATTTCTATTTCCTCATACACCTGTACCCATAACCAACTACCTCTCTTATTTTGCTTTTTTCTTCCATTTTAGATCAGCAATTTGAAGGAACTGCACATCGGGGGCCTGTGATGTGTGTTGGCATGGAGGCCCTTGGTAACCATGTACAGCAGTTTGTGTCAGGGGCTTCCATTCTTGGAAAGTTGACTGTCTCTATGGGAGGAGCTGTAAACCTGTGGCCAAGAGACACTGTGCATGGAAACAGAAGCTGCCTTCCTGGAGGCACTCTGTTGGGCTTTACTGCAATAGTATATACCACTCCCAGGTACCACCATAGCCTTGTCTAAACCAGACCTTGATGGTACCGACCTCATCTCTGTCATATTGAGGGCCACTCAGAATGGATGTGGTTGTTTGGAATATTAGCTCCTTTTTCTGCACACAACATAGTGCTCTGTAAAGAATAAACAAATGGATCATGGGCTGCTGGGGACATTGGTTACTGCTCTCTGACAAATACATGCAGTCCCTCCAAACTCCCTTTTGCCTAGCAGTCTCCTCCACCAAAATATGGCTGCATGGATGGACAAATGTACCAAAAATTACAGGGCAATTTCCATCACATGCTATTTATCTAGGAAGCAGAACTGTCACTCCTGAAATTTCCAAGGGGTCTGTGACCTTACAAAAGTGGGACCCTGCCTTGAGCTCTGAGAGGAATGGCGCAGGATAGCAGGTCTGTGAGGTTCCCAGCCTGTGGCAGGAGTCTCACGAAGATCATTTACTAATATCCTAAACTCCATGGTCATACTATTAGGAAGTGGGGCTTTTGCTCTATTTGCATAGGTCCTGAGGGTATTAAGAGACTCCAGAATCCCCCCACCTTCTGCCATCTGAGGTTGAACCAAAAAGACAGCCATCCAGGTAGCTTGTTCTTATTTGCTCCTTCACTACTGGCATCTCACCTTGATCTTTGACTTCCTAACCTCCACAGGCTGTCCAAAATAAGTTTATATCATTTACAATCCTACTCAGTCTATATTGGTTTGTTATGGCAGCCCAGCAAACTAACACAAATGTAAAAATCTATAAATATGTAGCATAAAAATTATAAAATATCCTGCTTTATCTCTACACATATTTTCACTTTAAACATATTTTGGGTGATGTTAAAATAACTGCAAGGCAGCGTGTAGTGGCACATTCACAGAGTCTCAGCTCCTTAGGAGGTAGAAATCCAGAGGATCATGGTTCAAGGTCAGCCCAGCTAAGAATTTATCAGATACCATCTCAACAAACAAGGTAAGCATGGTGAAACATTCGTATAATCACACCTACATGGGAGGCATAGGTAGGGTAGCTTGGTCTATGGCTGGCCCTCAGCAAACTGCATGAGACCTTATCTGAAAAGTAACTAAAAGAAAAAACGGAGTGGGGCATGGCACAAGTGATAGAGCACATGCCTACCTTAGTACAAAAAAGCAAACCAACCAATACTGCAATATCTTTCTTTGATTAGAAATCAGATGCTCACCTTTCTATCCTATCTCTTTCTACCCTTTTAATATCTTTATATTTTGATGTGTTTTATAAAAATGTTTTTTGTGTTTTGTTACAATTTTATCTTATCTGGAAAGATGTGCTACTGAATATTAAATCCATTTTATTTACTGTAATTTATTATGTGTTTGGATTTACTCCATTATCCTAATATTTGTTTCAATTTTTCCTTCCTTTTAAAGATTCTGTTAATCTCTGTTCTTTTCATAAATGTTCTTGCCTTTGGGTTTTTTATTGATTTGATATACTTTGCACATTATTTCCAATATCTTTGTTTGTTGATAGGTTTATACTTCTTTATAATATTTTTCATAGTTTGCCTAAAGTATACATCTTTGACTTATTGCTGTATATACCTGTAAATTCACAGACAGACACACATACACTGTAGCATTAATGGAAATACCTTACACTGTATTAATTGTATTTACCATCTCTCAGATAATGTGCTGCTTTGGAAATCATTTAAAAAATCTGTTTGTTGTAAAGGAAAAATATCATGAAATGTGGTTTTTTTAAAGTATATATGTATTATCTCATTTTATTTTTTATTATTTTTTTATTCTATTTTGAATATATCCAGATTTGAGCTCAGGGCTGCTCACTTGCTATCCAGGTGTTGTACCACTGAGACACACTCTAGGCCTTTTTTATTTAGGTTATTTTTCAGACAGTGTCTCACATTTTAATTTCAGGGTCAGCTGGTAACTCCAACCTGTGCCTCCCACATAGGCAGTATTATAGGCTAAACCATTACCATGAGTTTTGTTGGGGTGGGATCTCACTAACCTATGTTTTAGGCTGTCTTTGAACCTTGAACCACACTATATCTGCTTGTGAAGTAGGTGGGGTTATAAGTATGAACCATCTAGCCTGACACTTTTTAATGTTTTCCATTCTCAGATGGTTGAGTCCATGCATGCAGTACCATGGATAAGGAGAGCTGACCACGCACACTTATAGGAGAGGTTGTTGAAAGTCAAAGGAGCAGTTAGCAGCAGTTTGGGAATCAAGGTTTGACCAAATATGCACGTATGCAGTTTCTGAGTTACAGTCAGGTACATTCCTAGACCCTCCTAATTGGCCTAATTGTGCTACAACAATTCAGTTGCCCATTATTCAGATTCTTAAAAGGGTTTGATCCACATACTTGTGGATAAGGCTCCACCCTGGATTGAAGGCAAGTTGTTCTGTCATGGTGCCCATGGCTTGTGAGCATCCAATTACTCCTGGTCTCCTACTGACTTCCCAAGTCCCTGAGCTCTTTAGCAGCATTCCATATTCAGCCACTGAGGGAAGGGTTATCCAGGTGTCCTTTGAATTAGAGTAACAGCAACTCCAATGTCCAGTCCATGACTGTTCTTCAGACACCAAGGATTTTGGGTGTTCCATACTCCTAGTACCATCTCAAAACTAAAACTCCCATGTCAGTACAGCCAATTTCAGTGTGAAATACTGTTTCAAGAGGTTGAATGGGTTTATGTCTGTTGGCACTGAGGCATGAGTCTGTGCAAAGAATATGTGCTAGGCAGAAGTCATGTGATATGTGTTGGAGCCTTGGAGTGGATGTGTGTGTGGTCTGTGCTCATTCTCTGTACTCCTAAGATTTATTCTAATTTAGAGGAATCTTGTCTTCTGAGGCCACAAGACTTTCTAGGTACTAAGAGCAAATCTTTCACCTTATTTAAACAACAGAAGAAAAACAAAACAATACACACAAAAATACTTTGGATAAGAAAATTCTTTTCTAATCATGATTTGTGGTGTATTTACATTGGGTGAAACATTGTTCTACATCTATTGTGATGACCATATGATTTACTATAAACTCATTTGATTTGGAAACACAGACACAATCATTAACTTTTGAATTTTGAAGCAGTATTCCATTTGCAGATGAACTTTGTATTTGATCAGCAATATACTTTGCTTAGGATCCTGTCCTCTCCACTGTGAGACTACTGATCTCTACTTTGATATTCTTCTAATGATTTGTCTTTTTTGGCATCTTTTATTTTTGTCCAAATTTACTCTAGTAAACAATGGTAAAATGTGTTAGAAAATATTCTTGTCATTTCTATTGTCTGGAATATTTTCTGTAGAACTAATATTCTCTTTTTTCATAACTGCAATGATTCATTAATGAAGGGATCTGTGCTTTCAGGGATTTTGTCAATAGGCTCTTTTTTCACATTTTTAGTATATATTACTTTTACATGATGTTTTAATTGTGAAATTCACACATATGTTTACAATGTATTTTCATTAGATTCACCACTCCATCATTCTCCCTCATTCCCTACCCCAGTCCCCTTTCTTAAGACAATTTCAACAGGTTTCATTGTCATATTATCACACAAAATATGGAACACTTCATCAATTTGTATGTTATCCTTGCACAGGGCCTGTGCTAATCTTCATACACCATTTACCAAAATGAGAAATAGAAGACCCTTAACAATAAATTTAGTGAGTATAGATTCCCCACATAAGCCAGTATATTCATTAGTGAGCTAGGCCAAGTTGTGTCTTGCAAGAATTTTTTTATTTCATCTGCTGTTGACTTTCTGAAAATAAAAAATTGTAATATTATCCTTTAGCATTTTAACATTTGTACCTTTTACAATGATGCTCTTTTTAAATATTTGATATTGATAACTCACATGTTTTTCTTTTTGTCCCTTGGTCAATCTGGCTAGGAATTTTTGAATTTACTTTGTTTTCAAGAAATGTAGATTTGGATTTACCAAATTTATTGAGTGTCAAACTTCAGCATTGTGTCCTTTAATTAAACACCACCCTAGTTATTGTGTCTGATCACTTTCCAGAGACCTCAAATTTTTGATTCTGATAGCCAAAGTCACCAGCACCTGCTTAGTGGTAGTTTCTCTGTTTAACTTGAACATGAAGCTGCCCATTCTGCAATGATCTGTTGAAATATTATTGCTAAAACATACAGTTTCTGTTGTTATTCAGGCTCTTGATACTGCCTCAGACTTCTAATCCAGGAGTTCTGAGGGGCTATCTCAGTACAAAACCCATCTGAATGATACTAAAAAGGCATTTGCTCTGTGCAAGGTACAACAAAGTCTCCTTCAGCACACATGACAAAGAACTAGCCATTTCTTCCTACTTCTGCATGAACTAAACTGAGAATTCTGCCAAGATTTCTTATTTCAAAATGAGATGTAAGTGACTCTGTCATTATTTACCCAGAAGATGAAAGAACAAACTCATAACTATGCAACAGAATAATAAATATTTTAATATATGTAAATATTCCAGAGTAAAAATTAAAATTGTAACAAGTACTACTGCACTCTAAACTATTAAGTTTTTGTTGTTGTTTCGATCTTCATCCACCTCCCCCCATGTTATTTCCAATCTAAAGCCCCATCTCATCCTCCCTGAGGTGTTCCAAGGCTTGAAATCAGGTCTGAAAATTCATATGAGGTTGTATACTGTACTTGTTGCAGGCCAACTGCAGAATGCTTATATGTTATATTGTTTTTAATTCCTGGTACAGAAAGAGAAGAGGAAGATCATAGACCTAGGATCTTGCACAGTGGGTTAGGGAGCACCTCTTGGTATGTGCTCTGAGGTCACCTCTTTGTTCCCTCCTATCCCAGTTCCTCCCTATTCTCACAGCTGGGTTCAAATAGACACCCCTAGCTTCTGGTGGACAGTCTTATACAACAAGTGGCAAGGACAGGATAAATGTAGCCTGAGCTTCCCCACCCTCCATCCCAATCAGTGTGGGCATTATCTACTCACTTTCTTCCTCCTGTGTAAGATAATAACTTCACCCTAGAAGGCACATAGCCAATGTGTTTAAAAATAAGGCTTCAGGTAAGAAGTCCTGTCACATTCCACATGCTTAGCCTAAGCTGGGAGAACCTGGCTTCAGTCTCCCACCCATGACTACCTCTTCAGGGACTAGCCAAGCTCTAAAGTCAAGCTTTAGAGCTTTAGTTGTTCTAAAGTCAAACATCTCTGGTGCCTCACCAGGTGGCCTGATTTTGCTGGTTAGCACAATGGACATCTGTGAGACTATAATGGGTGCTAGACTCAGGGGTCAGCAAGGGGCCTTCTGCCACCAGCCTCTCTTCTCCAGCCCTGGTTGCATGTTCCCTCACATGCAAATGGCCATTCTTCACAGTATGCACTCTCATGAGATCAGTGAAGAATGTTCCTAGGTAGGGGATGGTGGCCTCAGTGTCATCCTGTGGCATTGGATGGGAGACAATAAGAAAGGGCTAGTACTTCTATGCTGAGGGTTTGTCAGCATGACCATAGACCCATAAGGGCCTCCCACTGAGAACAGTCTATAGTCCACAGGACACCTCTCCCTGGTGCTCCCCCTCCTGGCACCTGGGATTTCAAACTGATTCTGGCCATCTCCCAGACTGACATTTGGCAGATATTCAATGTGTGTGTCCATGCCACACATAGGCCCTGCCTGGCCCTTTGTCAGGTGGCTACGGCTTATCATTCTAACATGCCAGCTATTCAAACATTGAAATGCTAGGTAATAAAGCAGTGGATAAAGAAGAATGAAGTTAGGGGAGCCCTCTCCAGTCCTGTTTGTGAGGAATGTAGCATAAGGCATGGTTACTCACCTTTTCCTTCTGACACCTGTGGCCCAATTTGAGGCTGCTCCACAGGGAGGCAAATTTGGAAATCCCACTTACCCCACCAGTACCCCAAATTTGACCCTGAGGGTGTTCTGCTTCATTATGCCAATTCTCCTGTAACCAGCATTTTTCCAGGACTCACCCCTTGGGGACACCAAGCTGATATGCAGGACTCCCTCTACCTCTCTCCTCATCTGCAACATGCAGATGGCCATACGCCCCTCACAGAGGATGTGAAAACTCAGTGTCTCCTTCCTTCCATTTGTGCAGACCTAAGTGGCCTTATTTGACCAAATCCACCTTAATGCCCCATTCATTCCTTTTCTTATCATCTCACTGGAAGTCAGCACCTCAAACTCATCATCTCTCCATGAATGGATGAGAAAGCTGAGGATTAGAGAGAGATGTTGCCCCCCCCAAAAGGTCTCCAGGAGGCCCTAAGGAACAGGTCTTCAGCTCCTTTGGCCAAAAACTAGGATCTAGCCCTCTGGTCTCATGGTTTATGTCAGACACCATAGAAGAGGTTATCTACAATAAGAGAAAGTCAAGGTGTCTCAGACACCAATCTGCCCAATTTTCCTGGTGTCTCTGCACTGAAGTGAAAACTGGGGTTCTGTCAAATATTTCTGTTCTCCATGGAGCCCATTGTGATGCTCTGTGGCAGAAAAATCTGCTTGTGTCCACATGGGACTAAGATTTCTACAGGAGCCATCACTGGCTGATCATTATACTAGGGCAATGAGACAGTGACAGTCTCATTCCTCTTTTACATGGAAGCTTCTGGAGTGTATCAGAAGACAACCAGGGTGACTTAATAGATATCTGATATTCTAGGCAACTCAGGCACTCTAGGACTCCAAGGGTGTGGTGGTTTCCAGGTGGTCATCTGTGACTCTCAACAGCTTCTGTTCCATGGCAGGGCATGAAGATGCACAGTAAATTCACATCTCCATCCTGGGTCTGGATGTTTGGTCCTAAGTGAAGTTTCCACTATTCTAGTTTATCCCTGTGTACCCCTGTGACACTATGTCCCAGGCATTCATCTGAAAGAATAGGCCTAAATTTGTGGCTAAAGGGTGTCCTAGTCCACAGAAAGGAGCCACATCCCCTTATGTTCAGACAAAAGACTGGGGATACTAAATGTCAGAAGGAAGCCAGAGAGCTCCAAATTCTGCTGGCTCAAGCACTCTCATTAAATACCCTGAATGCCTCTACTACAGTCAATTACCTGGGCTTTCCTTTCCCCTAAACTGTCCTCCATATGCCCCCACACTGAATTCATATTTGTTTGCTTCATGTTGATGAGACATAAATTCCGTTTTCAAAATTACTTTCGGTGAGGAACTAATATTGCCCCTCTTTTCCCTCCCTCTGTCTGCACACAGACTCATACCCACCTTGATGAATAGCACTCTGTGAATGCACTTCTTGTTCTCTTTAGGAAAATTCTTTCTCATCTTCTGTAGTATGTCTAAGCTTTCCCTTCAGGAAGTCATAGAAGTAACAGGTCAGAGGACTGGGGAGAGGTATGAGTGTGAATGAACTTTCATTTAGAGACAAAACTCCAAAATGATAGGATCAGGTTTGCAAATGATTTTTCTGATCTCTAAGGGTGCATGGTCTGTAGCAGGGCTTTCTTGCTGGTATAGCAAGGGCCCCAAACCCATTTTCAATGATCAATCAGTTGATTTCACCTGAACAGACTCTTGTGACTACAATGTAAGAAAATGTAGGCAGTATCTCCTAGACAAGGATGTGGAGTTCCATCAGAGACTTACTGACCACATCTCATGCACAAAAGGTGGACCCACCCTGACCTCTTTCTCTCTGAGATATGCAAGTGGTTTAACTTAGGGGTAACAATTACCACTCTGTAGTCATACATACTGAAGGAAGATGTGTACCCCCCTGGAGACCTCTTTTACTGTGTTCTTCAGTTGGAGGATGCCATTGCTCTGAAGAGCATACAGGATTGCATAGAGTGAGGAGAAGTTCTTGAACATGTGACACTGCTGTGGATGAAGACATTGTGAGTTCTGAATAGAGCTCCCACCTACTAATGCCATGGATGCGTGGGTCTGAGACTATCTCAATGATACAGAAGGTGGGAAACTCCAGGGACATGCTGAATTCCCAGGGGTAAGAAGAGCAAGACTCATCTCACTCCAAGAACAGAGCATCAGGGGGAAGACAGTATTATGCCTGAGGACTGGGAGTGTACATAAAACATGGCTGTAGGAACCAGCAGCTTATGTTACATATCAGGGCTCTAACCATAGTGCCCATCTTGACAGGAAAGTAAGGAGAAGGGAGTGACCCCAGGTCCATCCAGCAGCATACCAGGGCCACCTGGATCCAGTGCTCCACTGACTTGGCCCTGTCTGTCTCCATGCTCTTATCCCCAAGGTAGGTGATAATGACACATGTAATAATGTTGCTTATCTGAGTAAAAATGTCATCAATGATGGATGCCAGATGCTTCTTTCCCTTTTTGTCCTGCTGAGAACAGGTGTAGCCCAAGCAGTAGTAGGCCAATACTTTCTTCAGTTCCCAGGCCCAGGTTGGAGCATTGTGATTGGGGGAAGATCTCCAGAAGGTAAGGGTGCAAATCAAGCCTTCTGGGGTTCTATGTTTTGTTCACTGAGCATTGAGGACACACAGCACTCACTTGTCCAAAAAAAAAGCAGCTGGATAGGGATAGGGGCATTTTCCTTGCATATCTTAGTCCACTCAACAGAAACAGGCTCACAAGGCATGAACTGGTTTGCACATACTGCCATCCACACAACATACCTCCTGTCCGTCACTAGTCTCCATGCATAAAAGTCACAACCAGTGTGTCATATGACAGTCACTGGTTCCAGTGCACACCAAGCCACTAATGGGTGTTGTTGCATGCTGCAACTCTCTTACAAATCCTAAATATTCATAGTCACTCTGAGGATGAGTTCCATTTTGACTCTTCCAAAGGGAATTGATATTTTTGTTTCAAGAAATTAGCCCTGATAATGGGCTGTGCAATGCTGAAGCTGAGATTTAGACTGGGAATTGGCTTTGGACCAGGGAAGGCAGGACTGGCCACATTAGTCCAAAAGGAAGCCCACCCATGACCTGCCCTGCCCAAACACTCAGGGCATCCATCAGGGTCAGTAGCTTTGCCACGAGTTAAGGACGGAATGCCAAGATGTAAGGCTTCTCTTCACTTGATCTGATCTCTATGGCCCAAGTGAAGGCCAAGAAGACACCTCTGCCACAGCTGGCCTGAGAAGTGGAAACTGAGATTTAGTGGATTCCAATTCTGTAGCAGGGACTGGAGCAGTTTCTGGCGTAGATCTGGCACCTGATCTGACTCTTCCTCTAGAAAAGATGTAATAGTAAACTATGGCTCCTTATTTTGTGTTGTCACTTGCTCTATGCCTGATGCTGCTGATGCTGTTCATCTATATGCCAAAACCAGTGCCTGACATGACTCTAGCTCTGAAGTAGGTTTCAGTCAAAGCCCTGCATGTGGTGAGGGCTACATGAGATGACATCCTCAAGAAGATTGCCTTCTGAAGGCTGCATTACAAATGCAGATAAGACCTCTGCCAGCCTTGCAAACCCCAAGCCATTACCTTAAAGAGGTTTCCTCCCTAGACTTCATTCTACCATTGCAAGAATTCCAGGTTCTTCCATACTCCTCCTGAGCTGATGCAATCATTTGATCTTCTTTGTAGTGGATCCCACCCCAAACCTGCCTCATGTGCTGTGTGTATATTTCAGCCCCAGGTTCTTCACACACAGGCTCTGTTTTGTAGGGTTGCAGGTGCTTCTGCTGACTAAGAAGAAGTTGGGTTCCACACTCATATGAGCCAAGCATGTTAAGATGTAAGTAGGAAAGTAGCTGCTTGAGGCACAGGAAGTCTGGAGGTTGAATAAAATCTGCTGCATACTGCTTCAGCAAGGTGACCAGAATGAAAGACAGGGCACTGGAGGCAGACAAGAAGGCACCAGAATTAGAGTCCTGGTATCCCCTCCTCCTAACTTTCCAATAGCTGTGTGGGATCTGGGGACCTGTGCCTGCCCTAATCCATTCATAGTCTAGTGAATCCCAACAAGCAGTGGCAGGCCAGATAACCCAGAAGAGATTCAAAGAACCTTCATGTGAGGGAGCCCAATCCTAAAGTGTGAGCAGCTCTCCACTCTTCATGGAAGCTCCATGCTTTCCCCTGTGTGACTCTGGTAACATTTCCAGTGGACTGTCAACTCTCAGAGGTCTTACTCTCCTGCCTGGCTTCCACAGGGACTTGGTGGCACCTATTCATGGCAAAAGCTGCCTCACTGTCCCTGATCCAAGTGTGGGTTATCTTCTCATGACAATATTCTCCTGAGGGGCACAGCTTACCCTGTGAATACTCACTGATTCCCTCAGTGAGGCAGCAGAGTACCTGTTACAAAGGAGTGAGAGTCTGAGTTCCTCACACTTTCTGTGTGGCCCTGATGTGCACAAGGTGAGCAGACCTGGATAGGATGAGCTGTGGTGGGGATTATAGGTTCTCACAGGGGCCAACTGTGTGGCTTCCTCCTCTCTCTGCTTCCCAGGTATTAAAGATACCACCCACAGCTGTTTGTCAAATATCTTTGATTCTTACCTACAGATAAAACCACAATCCTCATTCCAATAGAATGAATCATAGGAGCTGCAGGACGCACATTTTGCCCAGACCTCACCAAGTTGAGATGCACAAATATTCCCACGATGAGTAAAATCACCCTCCCTTTTATCACAAAAAACCCACTCACTTTTTGAGTTGTTCCTGTGGTCCATCATTCCCGTTGTAATAGTCCACAATGCAGGGATATCCAGAGGTGGTCAAGAAAGCATCATGTCTCATGTAATGGCATAAGATATCCAGTGTTTCTGACTTATTTTCCTTTGGGGGTGTAGCCCAGCATGCCAGGAATTTCCTGTTCTTTTTACAGAGTTATGCAAGTTGTCTAGAAATGTGCCCATATACAATAAGTGCTTCCTAACAATGTATTCAGTGAATGATCCCAGCCAGCTCCTACCTATGTCTGGAAGATCTAGCAATTTCCAGGTCAAGTACAATCCAAAAGAAATATGGAAACTTCTTTACAAATAGAGAAAATGTATTTCCCAAAGCCTCAGATAGGTGGGTGCTTAGATAGAGAACTTATTCATGGAATAGGGTGAAACATTCAATACATTTTACAATTCTGGCCAGCTCACTCTCTAGGGCTAAGCTACGGCAATCACCTCGGATGCTCAATCCCCTTATGTGCTGGCAATATTTTATGAGGGAGGTCCACAGAGAAGCCAAGTTTCCATGATCAGTCAGGGGAAAGAAAGCCACTGGGTATGTCTGAGACCTATCCAGGAGGTGAGAAGTCCACTAGGCTTGGATGGGAGGCTTACCTATTGAACAGCAGGTCGAGGACCTGCTGTGTGGTGACAAGACTTCAATAGGTACACAGGAAAAAGGTGACATATCCCCAAACAGGAAGGCAGGCACCAGGTGGTCCAACAGAACATCCAGTGTGCCTCCCTTGATGGTTCCTCCCTTGCATGGGTTAGCCAGGGTTGGGGGCAACTCCATTGCACTCTGTTGTGGAAAAAGTGAGATAGAATTCAACATGGAAACAGTAGCAAATGTAGACATACAGTGAACTGAAACCACCAAGAAAGAATGAACACACACACACACACACACACACACCGGAAGGGTCTGATATGAACTGAGGTGTCAGAGTCATGGGCTATTCCACCTTCAACTAACCTGTGTTGCCTTTGTGATTCTATGGGGAAATCTCCATAAGCAACAGGGGCGAGGACTGATTCTCTGTGTCAAGGCAGGGTCAAAGGTCCCATCCTCAGCTGATTTGTGGCCAGAGCCTTCACAAGTTTGGACACAGCAAGAGAACATACTGGTCTCTCCAATGTCTTAACTGAAGTGACTTGGCTGGGGCTTTTGTGGGGATTAGTTACCTGGTTACCAGGGTTCCAAATTCCATTTGTCCATTCTCAAGGAAGTAAGGTCATCTCTGGATGTCCCCTTCCTGAGCTCTTCCTCAGACAAGTCCCCTGGTCTATTGACTGTCTTCTCCCTAGGACTTGTGGAAAAATAGTCACAGTTACACCCACATGCTCTACCCCACTATCCTAGGGCAGACCTGGATGGAGTCAGCACCTTAGCTTTCAGCAGATGATCTGGGTTCAGAGGCATACCTTCCTTCCATTTGCATGTACAGCCCATTACAAGTCATTGTCCTTCTTAGTGCCTCACCATTCTTCTCACTTGCACCATGCACATTAAATTTCCATCTTTTTCCTAGCATGTCACCAGATTTGTATGACCATTACAACCAGTGTTCCCTGAGAAATCTTACTGTTGGTTTCACTCATTTCTAACACAGTAACAAAGAAATGGGGCAAGTATTGGAAGGCTGGAGTCAAAGAAAGAAACATAGACCATAGGTGGTGGTCATTTCTATAGTCCCAGATTTCAAGAGACTGAGGCAGAAAGATAACAATTCATTGCCAGCTGGACTATATAAAAATATCTCTTTCTCCAAAAGGAAAAAAAATATGTGAACATATTCACATATACAGAAACACATTGGAAACAAGAACCCCATATCCTCCAATCTTCTCTCAGAGAAATAACAAGCTATTGGAAATCCTTTCAGCCTCTTGGTCCTACAGAACCAGCACCACTCTGAAATTTCCACATAAACCCCTGGTCTGATCTGACATGTTCACTCACAAAGGGACTGGGGTCAAGCAACACAGGCCTCATCCATAGTCCTGAGGTTCTGGGCAAAATGTGTCAAATGAAGGTAAGGGCATGTGGAGCCAAGGACTATGTTCATTTCTGTGCAGAATTCATACATGTTCCTTCAGAATTCAGTCACAAAGGAGCTCAGACTGAAAAAAGGCAGGTCCTGGACTCTGACATTTAGATATGTGTTTGGATCAACATTGGGAGTTCCAGGGCTGAAATTTAGAGCCCGTTTGTGGCTCACACTTTTACATGAGAGACATATCAGGAATGTTAGAATCTCCAGGCCAGCATGGCCAAAAACAAGGTGTAGATGGTGGTGTTTGTCTATAATTCCAGGTACCTGGGAGACAAAGGAAGATGGATTGCTCTCTGCTGGTAGCTTTGGGAAAGTTAGACCCTCTTCACGAAATGAAACACAGAAAAGGACTTATATCAACAGGTACAGAACCTGAGTAACAAGTGTGAGGTCCTAACGTCAAAACTTAAAACCATGAACAACAGCATCAAAAAAACCTGTAAAATAATGTTTTATAATACTGATCACTGCATCATACTTATTTTTGTAGCTTCTCTTGCTTGCATCAAGAGAACATATTGAATGAATAACCTATAACCAAGGTTTGTTTAAAGATACTATATGGTGTTCACAAAAGGACAAAATTGTTTCACAAATGCAGTTCCTGTTGACATGTCTATAATGTTCAAAGAAGGCAAAGGTCTCAAACACTTTCACCTGATTGTGCTAAATCATTTCAAACAGTTAAAAAGCCAGAGTACTAAAAGATTGTTTCATGCCAGTATGCCTATTTTCTTAAGTGATACTTTAAAATATTAGTTGTGCTGTTTTTCAGCTCAACATTTCTAGGCAAATAAGTTTCTTTAAAAAATGAATGATTAAAATCCACATTTTATCACTAATATCTGATTATTGTAATCATAAGTAGTATTGCAAAACAATTTTCAGAAGTAATTACATAAGCTCCCTGCATTTTTCTACTTTATTTCAATTACACTTCTCTAAATGTTGTAAAATAAGTTACTTTTTATTTCTACTACCTGTTTTTAAGTGATAGTGACTTGTGAGTCATAGATTGGTATATGAATATAATTTATTATTATCTCCACCTATCAACCTACTGGATCTTATAAAATCACTCTCAAAAAAACTTTTCTGGATTATATGAAATGTAACGGTAAAGGCATATAATTGCATTAAATGATAATATGCTTAATTTGTGACATTTGTCTTTTGAATTTTTCTCTAAATGCAGCAGTAAATGTATGGTTTCTTTACTTTCAAATTACACTGAAATGTAGACAAAATATTATGCATAGATTAGAAAATTTTAATCAACCTTTTGTCAATCTTACATGCTCTATGAGAATCAAACACCTTGCACTTTGCAAATGCCACCAGAGATGGTGCCCAAAGTAGAAAATACTGAACTAAAATGCTATAATGAACTACATATAGTCCTCCCTTGGAGAACATTGTATTAGTTTTCAGAGACAGACAGACCAATGATTCATCAGTGGAAAATTATTTAGTAACAGTGAGATGAGCAATGTATCAAGTACTTAGTGAATTCACCATCAAGGCCAATTTCAAATAGCTTAACACTGAAAATCTCCTAATTGCAAAAACCCATATTCTGTGCCCAATAAGCATATTTATACCTTTTAACATGAACACTGTGGAAATCTTTGCATTCCTAACAATCTAATTGGATTGTGAATCCACTGAGAATGAATCAGTTTGTTCCTTACAGAAGGACCTATGCAAATATCAAGAAAAACTTAAATAAACACAAAAGGAAATTCTTTGGTGAAGCTGACTCAGGATTTCATGAAGGGGGGATTTTGTAGAAATGAATTGTTAACTTTGTCAAATTTTGTAAAGACTCTGAGTGTGATGAAAAAACAAATATATTTGGCAATATAGAGATCACAGGGCAGAAAACAAGAAAATAATTTCAACAGGGATGGATGTCACAATAAATAATTGAGCAGAATACATAAAGAATGGGGGTAGCAATCCCTGATTTCTTTTTGAAGAATTATAAGTGAAGAGAGCAAAAAATTAGAAAGATAGACAGGGAAATATAGCAGGGTTAAGAGGAATTGAGGAGGAGAGAGAAAGCACATGGAGGTATTCCAAAGGGAACTTGAGAACAAGCTCTGTTCCTCTATTGACCCTACATATGGTACTGCTACTGCCCAATCGGTGATATTTTATTGTTCTGTTCACTTCTTGCACTTACATTTTTTCGTATGGTCTCACATTCCCACAAATCCCTTTGAACCCATTTGTAGCTTCCTTTTCACCTCTAAGTGCCCATAGGTCATGCATTGTTACACATTTCCTATCTCAACTGATTCCTTCCCAGCATAGGAGGCATATTTTATAATGTGAAATGTTTTCCAACATACACAAGTTCAGTGAAGGTAAGGGCCATATAAATTAATTAGATTGTGTCAGTAAACATGCACACATATATGCAAATATGCACTCTGTACTCTTTTATGTTACTCACTGAAGCAGCTTAAACAAAGTTAGCTGAATACAAACCAACCAAGCACACAAAGGTGAAGTTGGCCATTTCTGAGATAGCATTTTTGGTTACATTAAGGTCACATAATTATGATGCTACCTTACAAAGAAAATCTCCACTTTTAGTCTTAAAATTTCACATTATGCAATATATACATGTATTGGAAAAGTGCACGGTACAACATTTTATGTGTTTTATCAGTTACAAAATGAATATTAAAATGAAATTGAAATGTGCTGTATGAGTTAATGTTAGAGCAGATTTATTTTAGGATGTAAACATAATGTAATACATTTCAAAAGTAAATTTACAAATTTATTACTCGTTGAAGTGGCAATGTTCAGAATACATCGTGTTTTTTTTTATTGCTTTATTATTCACATGTGCATACAAGGCTTGGGTCATTTCTCCCCCCTGCCCCCACCCCCTCCCTTACCACCCACTCCGCCCCCTCCCTCTCCCCCCTACCCCCTCAATACCCAGCAGAAACTATTTTGCCATTATCTCTAATTTCGTTGAAGAGAGAGTATAGGCAATAAT